AGGTCCGGATGATGGATGCTACAGTGTACATGCTCAAATTTAGCTGTACTCTTGGCCCAGCCTCCCTCATTGTAAGACCATGGTTGACCACATGATCAACCAAAGTGGCTCGGATCTCATCAGAGATTACGGTCCTTGGTCTTCCTTATCCTCGTCCTCCCCGTCCTCACCGTCCTCCTCCTACTCTCACTCCTCTGGCTCTGCCTCTGTTTCCAATGTTGGCATCCATTGCTCTAAATCAGAAGAGCTCACCTGTTGCCCTTTTATGCTAAAGCTCTGATTGCTGATTGTAAAACTGTGTGACAGATGTTTGCCCTTGTGATGAGTCAGTGTGCACATTTGAATAGCAGTGTGTTCCTTGTGAAAACAAGATATTTTCCGCATGAAAATTGTGCCAACAGCAGAGAATTGTGTGTAGTGTTTTGAAAAGTGTGTTTTAGATTTGCAATTTGAGTCCAAAGCAGGAATTGTGCTTGCAGTTTAGTAGAATTGGTTAAGGGGGTTGGTGAATTGGTTACATGTTGTGGTAATTGTGTCTCAAGTACCAGAAAATGTGTGTAAACAATTGAGAAAAACTGTAATAGCTACAGTTCGTTCGAACATCTTATTATTAGTTTTCCTAATCCAGATTGCTAAACTGTAAAACTACTCTTGTTTGTAGTTTTATATCGTTCACCAGGCCCTTACTCTGAGTTTTTGGATCAGATCTTTGATTTTTTTATCTGATTTGGTGCTAAATACTGATAAGGTCATTGTAGTGGGGGATTTTAACATTCATGTGGACATTGAAAATGATAGCCTCAATGTAGCCTTTAGTAATATCTTAGACTCAATTGGTTTTACCCAAAGAATACATATCTCCACCCACTCCTACCATCATACATTAGACCTTGTGCTGACTTATGGCATAGAGTGTGAGGAAATAACGATCTTTCCACATAATCCAGTCCTCTCAGACCACTTTCTGATAACCTTTGAGTTGTTCATAACTGAGTTCTCGAGTAATGAAAGTAAATTTCACTATAGGCGGTCTCTATCTGACAACACTGTATCTTTTAAATCAACTGTTCCATCTTTACTGTCCTCAGCATCTCAGAGGAACGTAGCAGAGGGCAATATTTTCATTTCTAGCCCTTCACAAATTGATGCCTTAGTTCATAATGTTACTTCCTCTTTACGTGTGGCATTAGATTATGTTGCCCCTTTAGAAAAGAAGATAATTAGGGACAGGAAGTTGGCTCCCTGGTTTAATTCTCATTTACGAGCCTTAAAACAAAACTCTAGGAAATTGGAGAGAACATGGTGCTCTACGCACCATGAGGAGTCCTACTTATCCTGGAATAATAGTCGTGTGCTTCATAAAAGATAAGCTTCGACAAAATGGAACTGCTTATTTCTCAGCGTTAATTGAGGAGAATAAACATTATCCTAAATGTCTTTTCAGTACAGTTGCCAAACTTACACAGAATCATAGCTCTGAACCATCTATTCCCTTAGCCCTCAGCAGCAACGACTTTATGGGATTTTTCACAAGTAAAATTAATTCTATTAGAAACAAAATCTTTTGCATCCTCCCTAATGCGATTTCTTCTTCCCCAGTAAGTGAGGCAGCATCAGAGGTAACTGTAGAACCTCATCTGTGTTTGAACCGTTTTGATCCAGTTGAGCTTTCAGAGTTATCAAAAATATTAGCTTCATCTAAACCTTCAACTTGCATTTTAGATTCAATCCCAGCCAAATTATTTAAAGATGCATTTCCTTTGGTTACTGCCCCCATTCTAGATATAATCAATCTATCCTTAGTTAATTGATATGTACCACAAGATTTTAAGGTTGCTGTAATCAAACCTTCACTTAAGAAGCCTTCTCTGGATCCAGATGACCCAATGAATTATAGACCAATATCTAACCTTCCATTTTTATCCAAAGTCCTGGAGAAAATAGTGGCCATCCAAGTATGTGAGCATTTAAACACTAATGCTCTGTTTGAGAAATTTCAGTCTGGTTTTAGAGAGTATCACAGCACTGAAACTGCATTAGTGAGAGTTACAAATGATATTCTCATGGCCTCAGATAAGAATCTTGTGTCTGTTCTAGTCTTGTTAGATCTCAGTGCCTGCCTGCTCTGTCTTCTCAATCCCCAGTGAGTCGTGGAGGATGGCTGCTTATACTGAGCCAGGATCCTCTGGAGGTTTCTTCCTGTTAAAAGCGAGTTTTCCTCTCCACTGTCACTGTATGCTTGCTTAGTATGAGGATTGCTGTAAAGTCACTGACACTAGTCAGTGACTTGATGCAATTTGCTGGGTTCCTTATATAGGAAACATTATTTCTGATTGGCTTAATGAACTGACCTGAATTGGAATGTTTATTATGTGAAGTGCCTTGAGACGACTCTTGTCGTGATTTGGTGCTATATAAATAAAATTGAATTGAATTGAATTAAACAGTTCATGCCGATGCTTCTCCCACACAACGGGTGTTTGGATCTAACTTCCATGTTTATTGCTCGGACTGTATTGCAAGATCTCTAATCCCGCGCATGCCTGTTTGCGCACCTCAGGTCTCCGCAATGGAGCGGAGCCGTTGTAGAGTGGGTACAGTATAATTTGAGTTCGGAAGCGAGCGACAGTGGAGGGCGGAGCGGAGATAGTGGAATTTTGGGGTTAGTTTCCACCGGGCAGCTCTGGTCCGGAACTGGTTCACCAACCATGATCAATTTGAAGTTGTTTACTTGCTCCCTTACTCGCCATTTCTGAACCCAATCGAGGATTTTTTTCCGCTTGGAGATGGTGCGTGTATAACTGCCAACCACATGCCCGCATGCCTCTTCTTCAGGCAATGGAAGAGGCATGTGGAGACATTGAGGTGATGTCGATCCATGGATGGATTTGCCACACAAGGGAATATTTTCCCCGGTGCTCAGCAGGAGAAAATATCGCTTGTGATGTTGACGAGATCATGTGGCCAGACCCAAACAGACGGCGGGATCCATAATCCCACTCATGCACAATCGCCTAGTTTTTCCTTTACAGTAGTGTGTTTTTTGTTACTGCATGTACAGTACTGTACTGTAAAGTATACTGTAGTACTGCGATGTGTAGTACTGAGTTGACATTGTTTGTAAACTTTCAGAAAGTCTATTTTTGATTGTTGGGGAAACCTTTGTTGTGAACACAAACATTGTTCCATTGGGCTTCACAGAAAGCTAACTGAACAGAATAAAAACAGTGTGAATGAAAGACTGCATTGTTTCATATAAAGTACTCTAGTGTGTTGCTTCCAATCTGAAAGTGTATTCACATGATGCAGGTGTGTATCATTTTGTCATCAGAGTTTCATGTCAACACAGATGTGAATGAGATATTTCCCAGCGTTTCATGTTTACTTGTGTGTAGAGTTTTGGCACAATGAGCCAAGTTTTGCAAAATGTGTTCAAGCAATGGGCGAAAACTGTAATAATCAAGCTCCATCATACATCAGGGAGGACGGCGTCGCCCTCTGCTGCTCGCGCTGACCTCACCGATGACACACTTCCATGCATCATCTAATGTGCAGAGCCCTCGTCCTGTTCATGGTTCAGAGGTCACGTCTTCGTACAGCTTCCTTCATCCATCTTTTATATTTTGTTCTGTGTTCATGACCCCTTTTCTGTCCCAGTCCATAATGTGGTTTTCCTTGTGCGGGGGTCTGTTACGGCTGGTTTCTTTATTGTACTTTCTGCTTCCTGTCTTGCGGCTCTTGTGTGTCTTCGGCTTGTTTCCCTGTTGTTGGTGTGTTGAGTTGGCGTCCGGTTTCTCCTGTATGTTTTATTGCAGAGTCTGCATTCATACGTGACTCCGTATATTACATGTATATTGTCCTTTGGGTGTACTGGTCTTTTTCTGACTGACAGTGCAACAAGAGGTCCAGCATCGAACCCTCGGCACTCTGCGCTGACCCCAGCCAGACCCACCATGGTCCTGTCCACTAGCCACTCGCAGCTTGAAGAAGAAATGATCATTCAACTAGCGCCTCTCAAGATAAAAATCACAAGATCAAACATCAAAGTTAAAATAAACAAAAAACATTCAAAAACAATGACAACATACAAAAATATGAGGAGTAAAATGTGAGGAAAGGGAAAGAGAAATGGAATAAGAGAGCTAGTGGATCACATTCTTACCAGGAACTCTGTTAGCCAGTAAAGTGGCTAGCTGACATGCTAGCGCTGCATGCTTCCAGCATGTTTTAGATCCTAAACGCTGATGTTTGATTTAGAGATGCATCACTCCTGTAGACTCTAGTGAAGCCTTAGGAGACATTTCAGTGAAGAGGAGAGCTTGAGGTTTGGTTTTCTACAGTGAGTCAGCCACAGCTGCAGCGTGACACTAAATCAGGGATGCCCAAACTTTTCATGATGGGGACCAAAATGGCCAAGTCCAAATTCACTGACTCTAAATTAATTATTTTGAGTCAAAGAGACAAAAGTTCTCTAAGAGTTTTTCTTTTTTAACAATCTGAACATTAAAAGTTTCGTGTCGATCTGCATCAACTTCCTGCTGGAAGACGACCCTGCTGAGGAGAAAGCTCTCCAGAAGATGAGCGGGTCATTGGTGCGTATTCAGGTTGGACTGGTTTGATTCTTGAAAACAAAAACGCCAGCTTTTGTTCCAACGTGAGGCTCAGACAGGTGTCCGTGTCTCTTTGGCCTCTAGGACTGAAGATTTGAGCTCCGAAGAAACCAAAGCTCTTAATTACGAGCTGAAAAACGAGCCTCGGGCCACCCAGCCTCTCTTTGTTTGCCGCTTCAGCTCCTCTGACCCGCTTTGCTCAGTTTGAGCTCAGCCTGAAGCTAACATGATGTCATTCAGAGCCGGTATTAAACGCCGGACAAACATCATTTGACTTGGCCGTCGCTCAAAGAGCTTTTTGCCAGGCTGACTAAGTTGTACTTGTTGCAATGACAATAAAGGTTATTCTGAAATTTGATGGTTTAGTTTTGCACACATAAATCAGACAAAGAGACTCTGAGGCTTTTATTTTGTTCACATGAGTAACTACAGGAAGTGGTGCTGACTCTGTGCCTGCAGGTACTCTGGTGTGTTTTCTGTGAACCCGGTTATGACTTTGAGGTTGATGATGAGACCACCTTGCCATCCTTTATCTCCTCCGTGACCACGATGACCTTTTTGGTAGTGGTGGAGGTGGAGGTGCTGGAACTGGAACCGGTGCTGCGGAGAAACAGAGATGTCCAGGAGTTAAAATCAACACGAGGATGAATGAAGTTAGAACGTTTGATCTCTTTCCTACCCGGCCTCTCCGTCCAGCAGCCTCCTGTATTCTGCGATCTCCATCTCCAGTCGTGTCTTGATGTCGAGCAGCATCTTGTACTCCTGGTCCTGGCGCTCCATGTCGGCGCGCAGCTGCACCAGCTGGGCCTCCAGGCTCGTCACCTGCAGCTGGAGGCCTTGGAGCTTCATGGCGTATCGGCTCTGTGTGTCAGCCAAGGTGCCTTCCAGGCTCGCTTTCTGGCAGGAAAAAGGAGGGAAAGAGGGCAAACCCGTTCACCAGAGTGGATGTGTAAATGTGCTTAGGAGGAGGAGGAGGAGGCCACGTCCTCGTTACATACCATGCTGTGTTGTGACTGTAACTCAATCTCCAGGCCTTGCAGCGTCTTACGAAGTTCACTGATCTCTGATTTGGACGAATGTAGATTCTCTGTGCTCTCAGCGATCTCCACGGTCAGCGTCTCTGTCTGCAGAAGACGTGTAAACAGGTCAGATCTGGAAACCTTCAGGTTACTTAGCTGACACAGCCACCGTTTCCTCCACCGTCACCTTTGAATCGAACCAGTTCTGAAGCTCTCTCTGGTTCTTGGCAGCCACGGCCTCGTACTGCTCACGCATCTCTTCCATGATCTTGCTCAGGTCCTGCTGTGGCTTGGCGTCCACCTCCACATTGATCTGGCCGCTCATTTGGGTCCTCATTGATGCCATTTCCTGTTGAACACGCACGTCCCGTCTCGTTATGGTACACTTTGAGCAGTTAGGGTAAGCTGAGTTGTGTTTGGCACCTACCTCCTCGTGGTTCTTCTTAAGGAAGATCAGCTCCTCTTTGAGGCCTTCGATCTGCATCTCCAGGTCAGACCTGCTCAGCGTCAGCTCATCCAGAACTCTCTTTAGTTGAGCAATGTCTGCCTCCACTGACTGGCGCATGCCCAGCTCACTTTCATACCTATGAGGTAGCAAGATTCATGTTTAAAACTGAAACCTTTTGGTGAATTTCTCTTGTTGAGCGTTTTCGGAGCCCTACTTGACCCTGAAGTCGTCTGCAGCCAGGCCAGCGTTTTCCCTTTCCAGATTGATGCCTGAGTTCACCATAATAGCATCCTGGATCTGGAAAACCACACAGAGGTAAATCTTTCTTTAGTTTACAGCAAACCAGAAACAGGTCATGTGATAACAGGGCTTTGCCTGGATCGGACGCAAACTGGACCAGAAGGTTCGGAAGCCTACCTTTTTCCGCAGGTCTTCAATGGTGGCCTCATAAGCGGAGTAGTCCCGGGCGGCAGGGCCGGCTTTGTGCTCCATGTACTGTCGGATCTTCAGCTCCAGCTCAGCATTGGCCGCCTCAAGTTTACGCACCTTCTCAAGGTAAGAGGCCAGACGGTCATTCAGGTTCTGCATGGTGGCCTTCTCGTTGGTCCCAACATGAAGATCCATGTCGCCCCCTGCGCCAAAGCCTGAACCCCCTCCAATACTAAAGCTGTAGCTGCTTCCTGCACCACCTCCAGCTCCATAACCACCACCTCCAGCTCCATAACCACCAGAGGACACTGAGATCCTTGATCCGCTTCCACCTGCACCAGCATGCACGCTGGAAGCATACTGCCTCTGGACCCGGACTCCACCCGTGCCTCCAGAACCAAAGGAGCGCCCGGAGAAGGCGCTGGACATGCCGCTGGCTCGGTTCATCGTGGCTGGTGCTGCTGCTCAGGAGGTCTGCCTGCCTGGGAGAGAAGGAGATGGCTGAGATGCAGAGCTCTGCTGCTGCTCTCTTTATATCTGCTGCTGTCTCCGGTGTGGGCGGAGTCCAGCTAACCTGATACGTGACCTGAGATGTCCGTGAAGCCCCTCCCATCAAGTGCAGCATCTGGGTTGTTTTTCTTCTACCAGAAAAGGAGAAATGGTTCCAAACTGGATGCTAAAAGACAAAGTTCAGTCAGAGTGTGACGACTTTCACCTCCTGGCGCTTTCATCTCTACACAGCGACTGGGAAACGGCCACTCCTGTTACTGTTTCTCTCGCTGACCTGTCAGGCAGTAAATCTCCTTGTGTGCTTTATTGACTTTGTTCTGTCACTCAAAGGCAAGTCAACCAAATGTGTTTCGTTGCCATGGCAATAAGCAGCACAAACACCAACCTGCTGCCTCGGGTGTTTTATGTCGGATCCAAATCAATATAAGTTAGAAGCAGCGTCCTTAGATGGTTTTAGTGAGCGTGAGTGGGAGTTGTCTCTCCA